AAGTCCTACATTACAAATGTTATTTAGAGTGTCACGTTCAGATCATATTGCAGGTGCTGTAATCTGGTAGAACAGGTGCAAAGGTGGAGAATGTCTCTTATCTTTCCGGAAGGCTGGTCCTAACTGCTCTGGAGTATACGGAAGGTCGTACAGTCTCAATGCCATTCTTCTGAGAAGGCTTATTTTGGTACTGACCTTACAGTGTATGTGAACCCTCACCTTGTAACACAACCCATTCAGTTTAACCACTTGCCCTCCAGAGGATTTACCCCCCTTTCCTGTCCAGGCCATTTTTTGCGTTACGGCGCTGCATTACTTTAACTGACAATTGCGCGGTCATGCAATGCTGCACCCAAATTAAATTTACGTCCTCTACCCCCCCCCCCAAAAATAGAGCTTTCTTCCAGTGGTATTTGATCGCCTGTGCGGTTTTTATTTTTTGCACTATAAACAAAAAAAGACTGACAATTTTGAGAAAAAAACTATATTTTTGACTTTTTGCTATTAAACATGTCCAATAAAAAAAAAATTGTCAAAAAATTTAAAGCAAAATGTATTCTGCTATGTCTTTGCTAAAAAAAAATCTGAATACATGTAAATTAGTTGGTTTACGTGAAAGTTATAGCGTTTTTTATTAGTAATGGCGGCAATCAGTGACTTATAGCGGGACTGCGATGTGCATTCTGAGACTGGGGGGAACTGACTTGGTGTCACTGACATCCCCAGTGACACCAATACAGTGATCAGTGCTAATAAAAAGCACTGACACTGTACTGATGGCACTGGGCAGGAAGGGGTTAACATCTGGGGCGATCAAAGGGTTAACTGTATGCTGTGTGTGTTTTACTATGGGGCTGTGTCTGTGCTTTCCACTGTAATCACACTGCTTTGTATGGCTCTGCCAGCAGCACACTGGTGAATGGCTGTACAGCACTGATCTGATTATTGGAGGAGAACAGGGTGAGTTCCCAGGACAGCCAGATAACTGACCACACTGTGCTCTCCTGCTTAGTGTAGTCAGTTTTTAAGAGGGAAACAGAGGGACTGGCAGAAAAACCAGGGAATTCACACAAAAGAAACAATACAAAGAGAACAGGATACATTTTCCTACAAGTACATGGTACAGCAGGCACATATCAGGAATAGGAAATGTTAGGGTAACGTATTCTTTAAAGGGAAACTTCTTTGAAAATGTTGTAAATTACATAATGATTATGATAATTGTTTTTATAACATTTCATGATAATTGCTTTTATGACCAAAAAATCAAACTCATCTTCTTTGGAACCATGGCAGAATTGTCATTACTGTACTCTTGTATATGGCTTGCTGCTTCAAATTTAGAGTTCAAATTTCTGGCATCTCCTGTGATAACTTGGACTTAGTGTTGTATCTCTACCTACAAAACTAGGAGTTACTATAGTGGGCAGATCTATCCACTTAGCACTTTTTTTTCAACAAGTGTCGGCATGGTCTGCCTTAAAGGGCAACTTTAAACTTTCATGGGGGAAAAAAGTAGCAAATAAAAGAAATAATATTGTGTATACAATTCATTTTGTAATTGAACGTTATTAAAAATGATCTTTCCAACCTTTTTTTTTTTTCCTCTTCTTTTTCCGGTAATATGTTGGATTGCTGCTGCTATTATTTGGTTCGGCTTTTTGCCGTCCCTCCTTGATGTCATTGGACATTTCGTTATTTGGCTAATACAAGTCAGCAGGACGTATCTGTTTATGTGTTATTGTTCTGCTCTGCCCCTGCGTGGGCGTATCTGGAGCTTGTTGTATTCTAAAAACAAAACTTTCTTAATAAAAATATTGAAACAGAAAAATTATCTTTCCTTTATATTCTGCAGAGCTGTAATTTTCTATAAAATGTAATGCAGTATGGCAACCTGGAAGCATTTTATACACATTAGGTGTATGGAATGCCCCAGAAATGTCATTTCCTGTTTTGTGTGATTGGTTTACTAATTTTCCCAGAAGTCTGCATTAAGAGTCAGATTTTGGGCATCCCCTGCAACAAACATCTCATTTTTGGTGAAATGCTCCCAAAAGGAAACCATGTCTAAAGCTGGCTATACATTATACAATTTTCTTATTCAATTTTCATTTAAATTTACCTTCAACTATGTAGTGCAAAGGCCTGCCTGATTTCATACAAAGTGAAAGTATTGCATACAAAGTGAAAGCATTGACCTCATATTATATGGTTTTGGTAAATCTGATGGGTAATTGTACAAGAACATTGTATAATGTATGGTTAGCCTTAAGGGATGCAGACCTTGCCAATTTCCTCATTAGAAGTAGCAAGTGCATCAGCTGATTGATAATTACAAAGTAGGGATGCACCGAAATTTCGGTGGCTGAAACTTTTCGGTCGAAAAAACCCCATCCCTCACCACCACCTGTCCGCCTCTACCGGCTGCCGCTCGGTAGTTCTCAGCCTTACCTGAGAAACCATCGAACGATCCCGACGCTGGGCATAGAGATGAGAGAAGGAAAGATGGCCTCCACTCATCTCAATGCCCTTGGAGGACCAGAGCAATGTCACTTTTGGTTCCGGCCATTTTTTTCTTTTTTCGATCGAATGCTTTATATTGCCTTATGGGGTCTTATTGACCCAATATCTCTCCGTAAAGAGGACCTGTCACAAATTATTTCTATCACAAGGGATGCGTGCATTTCTTGTGATAAGAATAAAAGTGATTAAAAAAGTTTTTACAGGGACAGTGCAAAAAAAACAAAAAAAATTAAATAAATAATAATAAAAAAAAGTTTAAAGTGCCCCCGTTCCCCACCATTCTCACACGTAGTGGTGAACGCATACGTAGGCCATGCCCACATATGTAAATAGTGTTCAAACCACACATGTGAGGTATCGTCATGAACGTCAGAGCAAGAGCAATATTTTTCACACTAGACCTCCTCTGCTCCTCTGTAACTTTACACTGCTAACCTGTAGAAGTTTTTAAAGCATCACCCATACAGATTTACCGCAGTTTCACACCATTCCACGAGCGTGCGCAATTTTAATGCGTGACATGTTTTGGTATCTATTTACTCGCCGTAACATCCTCTTTCATATTTTACAAAAAATTGAGGTATATATTGTTTTTTTTTGTTTTGTTTTTGTTAATCAAAGTGTATTTTTTTCCAAAAAATATATATTCATTTTTAAAAACTGAGCATTTCAGTTTTGGTTTTCGGCCAAGTGCATGTTGAATTTTCGGTTTCGGCACCAGAATTTTCATTTCGGTGCACCACTATTACAAAGTCACTCCTTTTCTCTTTCACTTTGCACATAGCTCAAACAGCTACTTCTTCAGAATAACAAAAGGTAGGAATCTGTAACAAAGTTTGTTAAAAATCCATGCAATGTACACAGATCACCCAGAGGGGATTGTTTTTTTTTTTATTCAATAAAAGTGGAGTTACTCTTTAATATTTACAGAACATAATTATGTAAGCATTGGCTGTAAAGTCTGGAAAAAGTCCTGCATTGTGTACGGTTTAGGTGATTTTTTTTTTTACTGAACAAAACTAGATTTGACCACATGTATTTTCACTGACCTTAAGCGCATAGTGTTTATTATGCATGTTCATGGAGCGGAACAGACTTTCACTGCCTGGTTCAAGCTGTAGTCTTGTATTGTTGTGTATTCTTTCAAAGACAGATGATGTACAAAAACGGAATGCAATGGATCATGTGATCTATGAACTTTCATCATTAACTGCTTGTTTCAGCTCAGTTATCTTACCCTTTTGGGAGTATCCTCAGCTAGTCCTTGGTCATAAAGAAGCCCCAACATTGAACTAAGGCATAAAAAAGTACATAAATATGCATGTTAATGTCGTAAGATTATGGAAGAAATATATTAATAAATTACAATATTGTGTACTATGGTAGGTCCAATGGTTTTGATGTAATGGTGAACCCATAGCACTTTTAAAGTGGAACTCCAGTTACATTTTTTGTTTTTATTTTTACACCCTTCCTGTGAGCCCAGCCTGTTGTTTACACCCCCCCAGGGACTGCCTTATCACGAAGGCTGGGGTTACAGTACTCTAGGATGAGTGGCGCTCACATGTGATGGGGGAAACGCTTGGAGTTACACCTTAAGATATGTGTAAAGCTTAAAGTGGTAGTAAATTCTGTTTTATGACCTGTACCTACAGATTGTAGGTGCAGTGAATATATCTTAAACGTGCACCAAGAGAGTGCAAAAAACGGAAGGAAGACCAGGTGAAGATGAGTAATACACATTTTCATTATTCAGTTGGGCATCACAGTGCATGAAAATGCACAGAAAACAGGACATGCCTCATTTTTACCAACGCACTGCAACACAGCGCACAGATATGATCTGGCTCTTTGGATTCATGCATATAAATGACATGTGTTTTTGTGTGTGTCCAAAATGCACATGAGAAAACACAAAGGCCTAATAGAAAAATGTGTATGAAGCGCAAGTTCATCTTTACAGAAAAGCTTACACTGGACCCCCCTCAGTCTCGCTGTACCAGTATCCCACAATCCCCTGTTATCAAGTACGGGGGCTCTGCTACACTGGTTTAGTGATTTGGCTTTCTCTCCTCTCCTCGCAGTGCTGACAGGATGGGCTAAACGGATTCAGATTGGTCCTGACGGCGCTGACCAATTAGAATGTCTCTTGTCTGTATGCGCTGACAGGTACAGATAAGAGATTAAGCCGCAAGGATTTCAAATTCTTGGACCGGTAAAGTGGCATCCCAGTGCCTGACAGCGGGGGACATTGGTACAGCGGGGGGAAGGGGAGGGGATCCAGTGTAAGGTTCCCTTACAGATTTTCTGTAAAGGTGAACTTACACTTTAAGTAATTTCCAAGCAAAGGTAAGTCACAAATAACAACATGTGAGGTTTCAGGACAATAAAATGCTAAAAAGACTACAACTGTACGTCAACAGAACCGGAAACAGGTAGAAGGTCTACTTATTGACGTGTCATGTTTTCTTTTGTAGCAGTTGAACAGCAGGCGTTTAAGCAGTCCATTGGGGTCACCTGTTCAAGCAGAGGTCTACTTTCCACGATTGGTAAGTTCTTATCTGCATTTTCTCTTCTATACAAATAGAACTATCTGATAAAATCTCAGTATCTAAATGTTTAAGAAATAAGATTTTCCATCTGTATGTCCATGTGAAGGTCCATCTTTACCTTCACTGGATGCACAGTTGTTCCATGCATGTGTATGCAGGCGGTCCTATTCATGTCTACTGGTATGCAGAGGCTGCATGGATACAGACGCCAGTCAAAAATTTGACAGCCATGCGAGTGTGTCCATGTGAATGAAACTATAAGGCCCCATTCACATTTGGGCGTTTGTGATCTCCGGCAGAATCAACGTGATCCCGAAAATGCTCTGCAAAAATGACAAATCACACAACGCCTGTTTGGTTGCCATTCATTTTCAATGGCACTAAAACGCAGTGCGGTTTTGCCTTGATTGACACACAATAAATCGTGCTGCAAGTGTGGCAAACCGCATCACGCAAAGCTTGCTACCCAAAAGAAGCTCCTGCTCCTGATTTATTGTGCAACAATCACGGCAGAACCGCACTGCGTTTTAATGCCATTGAAAATGAATGGCACCCGAACAGTTGTTGTGCGATTTGTCATTTTTGCAAAGCATTATGGGATCATACGCAGAATTGAGGTGATTCTGCCCAAGATCACAAATGCTCAAGTGTGAACAGGGCTTAAGGGTTCAAGTTTTTGTGGTGTCCTGAATGCTGGCAGATGGGTGGTTTGAGCAATAGATCATAACTGTCCAAAGTCATTCATGCCTCTTGTTCAGAAAAATTTGGACAGCTGTTAAGCGGCATGTACCTTAGGTGCATTTTTAAGGTGATCTCCCAGAAAGGTAATCAATACAAGCACTGGCCAAGGGGGATTTTGAAACATATTGGATATCTCAGTTTGTCTTATATGATGTGTATTATGTGTTACAAGTCTGTCAAAATATTATACGTGCAGAGTTCAGTCTGAAAAGCAGTAATATATCTTGGACCTGTCTGAAGTATTCTGGAAGGGTTTGCATAAAACTCATTGAGAAGTGGTGTAGTACAATATGATAAGCCGGCCATAGATGGTTCAAATCCCAGCGGGTTCAGCAGCGATTGGCTGAAATTCGAATCATCAATGGGCAGGCTGATTGTTTGTATGACGTTTTTTTCATGCAATTATTGCCAGCGGCTAGAGCCACTAGCAATTATCACTCTGTTCTCCTGGTGGGGATGATTCCCTCTGTGCCTCCCTGCTCTGCGGAAGGGATTCCCCTATCAACACTGATTGTACTGATGGGGTAATCAAGCGATTTTCTTTCCTGGAACCACAGCCATCATCTATGGCCGGCTATAGTCTATTATTATTGCATACATTTATATAACGCTGATAATTAAAGGAGCACTTTACTTATTCTACATTCACATCAGTCCCTGCCCTCAAGCAGTAAGATTCTAAAGCCAGCTGAATGAAAAAAAAAAAACTGAGCCAATTCCCCCATCCACCCATTCAAGGCAGATGTGGTAATTTTCCCTTTTGTGTCACTGTATTCTGACAGCAGGACGCCATCAGAATACACTGATCCACGCTGCAGCCTCGTGTATGGCAATATGTAACTTATGCATCACAATCGACGTTTTCATGCATTTTTGTTTGTATGTGTGTGCATATATATGGGGGTAGCAGGGCCTCAAAAACTTTTTTTTTTGGGGCGGGGGGGGATTTTATGTGCTTGGTTGTATCTTAAATTTTTACAATCTAAAAAAAATGTATTTTTAGTCAAAAAGGAGGTGCACTATGTAAAAAAAAAAATTAAAAGTCAGCAGCTGCAAATCCTGTGACACCCACCTATACACAATCACTGACACACACCTACCCACAATCACAGTCATGTAAAATGTTTTTTTTACTAAAAAAGGAGGTCCACTATGTAAAAAAAAATTAAAAGTCAGCAGCTACAAATACTGTGACACCCACCTACACACAATCACAATCATGTAAAATGTTTTTGTTACTCAAAAAGGAGGTGCACTATGTAAAAAAAAAAAAAAAAAATCAAAAGTCAGTAGCTACAAAGCCTTTGACACCCACCTACACACAACCACTGACACACACCTACCCACAATCACAATCATGTAAAATGTTTTTTTTACTCAAAAAGGAGGTGCACTATGTAAAAAAAAAAAATCAAAAGTCAGCAGCTACAAATCCTGTGACAATCACCTACCCCAAACCACTGGCACCCACCTACCCACAACCACTGACACCCCAGACTGACACAGACCTACCCACAACCACTGACACCCAAGACTGACAACCATCTACCCACCAACTACTGACACCCACCTTATCCCCAACCACTGACATCCCAGACTGACACACACACCTACCCACAACCACTGACACCCCAGACTGGCACACGCCTACCCCCAACCACTGACATCCACCTACCCCAAGCCACTGATTGTTAACTTGTGGTCTGCCCAACATTTTTATTACTAGGTATTGTATGTGTGGCCCAAGATAATGTCTCTTCTTCCAATGTGGCCCAGGAAAATCAAAAGGTTGGACTCCCCTAATATAGAGAGATATGCTTTGTTCATAGCTCATGACTGAGGTTTACAACCACTTCAAGGCTACTTTCACACTGTCCGTTTTTCTTCCGCTTTTGCGTTTAAAAAGGCGAAAGAAAAACGTGTGACCATGTATTCCTATGGAACTCTTCACACTGATCCTTAGAAGCCAGTGAAGAACTCAGCACTGCAGATTTCATTGATGACTAATACAGTATATCATTGTTGGGTGGACTGACCCTTTAATAAAACTAATTTCTCATTAATGAGATGACGATGATGCAGGATTTCCTCTGGAGAATAGTTGTCTTAGAGCAGCCTTTGTCAACCATTTTAACACGAAGGAACCCTTGAAGGAACCTTCCAGGCTTAGGGAACCCCTACTAATAATTACAAAAATTCCCAGTCCATTATTGTGATGGTCACGTAGAAGAATTCTTCTTATATTTGTGGTCATTGGCAAGACTCTCCCCCTAACAACCCTGAAGGAACCCTGGTTGAGAAAGGCTGTTATATACATTCACTGGCCACTTTATTAGGTCCACCTGTTCAATTGCTTGGTAACACAAATTACTAATCTGCCAATCACATGGCAGCAACTCAATACATTTAGGCATGTAGACGTGGTGAAGACAACTTGCTGAAGTTCAAACCAAGCATCAGAATGTTGAAGAAAGAGGATTTAAGTGACTAAAATGTGGCATGGTTGTTGGTTCCAGACGGGCTGGTCTGAGTATTTCGAAAACTGCTGATCTACTGGGATTTTCATGCTCAACCATCTCTAGGGTTTACAGAGAATGGTCCAAAAAAGAGAAAATATCCAGTGAGCGGCAGTTGTGAGGACGTAAATGCCTTGTTGATGTCAGAGGTCAGAGGAGAATGTGCAAACTGGTTGCTGTGACATTCAGAAGTTAGGGTGAGAATTTGGCGTAAACAACATGAAAGCATGGATCCATCCTGCCTTGTATCATCAATTCAGGCTGGTGGTGGTGGTGTAATAGTATGGGGGATATTTTCTTGGCACTAGCAAAGTGTACCTAATAAAGTGGCCATTGAGTGTACAATGATTGTTATATGTATGGCTAATGGATCATATATTTCATAAATGGATTCAGCAAAATGATTGTTGCAATCTATGAAAAATCTTTTTATTAGAAAAGCGATGCTGTAAAGCACAATCACATATGACCAAATTGATATTTTTTTTTTACGCTGGCGTTGCAGTCCACAGCTGCGCTCCAAGTGGGCCCCACAGACAACTGGAGGTCTTGGTTGGCCCCATCCATCTATGACGGCTTCAAAACCTTCAGCATCACAGCAGCAATAAACAGTGGAGTGGCGTGTTTACTATCCACTTTACTGATGAGCCTGTTTTTAACTATGGAAATGTGAGTTGCCTACTTATTTTATGACGATTAAAGTTCTCTAACAGTCTGCACCCAGAGGTGCTGTCTTCTTCTTGGTTTGTCACTAAAGGCAAATAGACTGTGCACTTTACAAACCAAGAGCAGTTGCTCCATAGTTCAGTAAATGAGGGGAGCTCTGCTGACTTCCATCACCCAATCACGTGCAAGCAAAAATGCTGTTTTTTTTTAAATTTTCCTTGCACGTGATTGGGCATTCTTTGCAAACTCACACTTTACCGCATTTACTAAGTTATGTAGCAACTACACTTGCAAAGTGCACATCCTATTTGCCTTTAGTAAATCCATGCCACAGAGCGAGGTTCCCACTCATTCCTCTTTGGCTGTGATTAACAGCAGCGGAAGCCAATGGCTCCCACTGCTGTGTCTCAGCCAATGAGGAGGGAGAGTCCCAGGAAAGCTTCTGCTCTTGTGCACATCACTGCATCGGGATCAGGTGAGAAAAAGGGGGGGGGGGGTCTGAGGGGGGAGCTGTACAGTGAAGGTTTTTTACCTTCATGCATAGAATGAATGAAGGTAAAAATCCTTCAGCCTTTACAACCACATTAAGCTATGATTTGACCAGCGTTAGCCTGGAGCTCTTGCATGGTTTCTGCATTTAAAAAGACACCAAGGGAACCCTTATTTGAATCAGAATGGTTGTCATGATATCCGTTGTAATAAATTATGACTGTCATTTGTTGTTAGCTAGTTGTTAATGGAAACAACTGCTTTATTTTTTTGTAGGTGATCCCCATTGTGTTCCAAATAATATAGTGAAACTGCATAGTGTGCTGTGTGTACTGTTGAAGCTTTATACAATACAGAAAACTGGTTCCTTCAGCATGTTTTGTGGAACCTAAATAATCTCTTTGTGTTGGAGAATTCTACTGTATCTAATATGCTGTGAATGTATGCAGGTAATCAGCACTGTGAGTGCAGGTAACTTGTTGATGTCTCAGGGGTGTCAAACTGGTGGCCCTCCAGCTGTTGCAAAACTACAAGTCCCATCATGCCTCTGTCTTTGGCAGTCATGCTTGTAACTGTCAACCTTGC